GTCTGACCCGTTCATGAATTAGGCAAACATTGTCTGCACTAGAACTCCCTAATGGAATCCTACCACAACATGTGTCTGACCGGCACCTAATTTTCTAATAATGGTTGTGTCCAGCAGTTCCCCTACTATACCGATCAAGTGGCATGTCTACAACATTCACAAAGTTTGTCTACATAGTCTGAATGCACTTTGAGTTGTTCACTTACAGCAGCATTAGTTAAAACTGGCTATGGTAGCATACAACAGTCCTACACTAATTTGTCTGTGAGGTGTTAGCAGTCTGTCCACCAACTAATCAAAGGTACAAGAAGACAATGTAGCAGATGTATGATTGATGGGTATGGTTGTGTATACAGTTGAGCACCAATTAGAACCTACCCTCCCCTCCATCCAACATACCGAACAGCATCATTGAGCGAGCAGTGTCTTCGTGTGTGAATCGGCCCACCCCTGTGCCCAAGTTGTCACCGAGCAAACCAGCCCAACCACTCTTATTTACCCTCGTACGGCGACAAGCCTTCCTGTCCATGTGATCTGGCTGATCAGGAGGGATTTATTGAGCGCCCCCATCTCTTCAGGAATTATTTAACGTCGCAGTCAGGACGACGATCACAGCCAGAATCACAATGAACTCCCAACCAGAAATGTTTATAGACGGTCTGGTAAGCGTCTGTCATCGGCTGGCACACCCGGAGGAACTTCTATCAGCGCAGCAAGTGCCAAACAGGACAGCAGCCATCGCATGCGTGCACTACTCCCTGTGGGTTGGCATGGTGACCGTGACCCAAGTGCTTCGACCAGGGCCCTTCAGAGGCACCGCCCTTTCTCCTTCCAGTATGCTTCCGGGAAGATTGTTGTCTCTCACGGTAGCGCGCTCACGACACCTCACCAAAAGAGAGGACTCTCAAGTTGGACTCACTTCCTCACGGTAAGAAGAGATTGAGAGAGTAGATAAGGTAAGGGAACAACGTACNCGACACCTCACCAAAAGAGAGGACTCTCAAGTTGGACTCACTTCCTCACGGTAAGAAGAGATTGAGAGAGTAGATAAGGTAAGGGAACAACGTACCTGGAGATAGCTGCCYYCAACCACAGATTTCTCACCAATTGAGCCGATGTTGCATTTGATGACCGGTCATGACCTCGGTACCACCCACAACGCAATGCAGTGCCACCTTAGTCCAATGCCACATCAGCATGCTCTCATCATCAATCAAACATTCCGCCTGTCACCACGGCTAATATGTCGTTTGTAGCCTTCCGGTGCACCCCTCTCTACCCAGGGCGTGCACCAATAGTGGCTTGACGTCACAAGTACACACTGCGAAGAAGCATCATCAACGCACCAAGTCTGTATAATGCCAGCGTGCCAAAGGTAAGTGGCGATCTAACCAGCTCCGATACCAAAATGCAAGGAACATGAGTATGGACGAAGCACATAAATCCAGAATGCAAAATCACACTGAAGTCCAAGTATTCAAAGCCAAAGAAGATAGCACATGGAACCGAGTAACGATCCCATTGAGAATGATACAGAAGAATCGTGAGTCAATGTCCATGCCCAACAGGGCAACACCAACAGCATAACCCAAATGTAGCTCTCTCTTGTGAATGGCGCYAGGCGCCCTATCTACCCTACASCCTATCMTACAACTACAGCAATGAGCAGCAACCAGACAACTTGACTACCAGCGAGTAATGATGTCAACACCAATGTCGTATTCACCATCACCAGGTACGTGTCATCTTCCTTACACTCTCCCTTGTTACCCACACATCGCCCTTCACCTCCGAAGTACCACCTTCGCCCTCACCTACCATGCACCCTCTTGCGGCCCGGCTATGGCCGCCAGTGCCCTGCATGCAAACAGCGCCCTACCGCCTAGCGCTGGCCTGCTCTGTCTTAGCGCTGCGCTGCTCTGCATAGCTCTGCACACTTGCATCCGCGCAGCGTGCCCGCATATGCCAGCATTGGCCAAGATCCCCGCTGCCTCGCCCTGCTTGCCTATATGCCAGTGCAGTGTGTGGGCGGCCTCCCTTCAGCCTGTGACCGGGGCCCAGAGGCTGAAGCCAACTCRATACAGTTGGGCCCCGGGGTAAGGCAGTTGCGCCTCCTTCATCAAGGCCTGCGGCCAGATTCAGACAGTGGGCCGATTTCCCTTTGGCATTTTCGGTCTCTCTTCCCAGCATGCATTGTCGGCCTCACGTTCAGATGCCCAGGGCCTAACCAACTCAGAGGCCCTGGGCTTTCAGCATTTGCTGAAATCCGAGACTCGGTGCACTCCAACCAACTGGCGTGCTGCAACTGTATGAACCCCACTTCGTGAAATGTTGCACAGAGGGCTCTTGTCGATTTGCTGGCCCGCCTTCACTTAGGGCGGGCACTAGGCTTGCTGGAGTCCTCACGTAGAAGAAACGACCAACGAGGTAGTGCCTCCAGTGAGTCAACACTTTGTAGATCGCGTAGAGTTCCTTCTCATAAGTGGACTTGGCCAACTTTTGAAAGGGCATCTTTTTGGATATGTACTCTACCAGCCTTAACTTTTTCCCCTCCTGCTGCGCAAGTACGGCACCAATCCCATATTGGTTGGCATCCGTGGTCACAACAAACGGCTTGTCGGGATCGGGCAGTTTCAAGACCTCATGGTGAGTGAGGGCATGCTTCAAATGTCTAAAAGCAGCCTCACACCTGTCTGTCCACTTCCACGTGGTGTGAAGGCGTGTGAGGTCTGTCAAAGGTGCGGCCACTATGCTATAGTTCTTCACGAAGCGGCGGTAGTAACCGGTCATTCCTAAGAAGGACCTCATCTCACTTACAGACTGAGGACGCAGCCAGTCACGAACGCTGGCCACCTTCGCGTCATCGGGCTTCAATCCCTCCGCTGAAATCTCATGACCCAGGTACAAGATCCGGGTGCGTCCAAACTCGCGTTTCTCCCCGTTGATCTTGAACTGGTGTTGTCCAAGGAGAGTAAGAACTTTGTCTGAGTGACCGACGTGCTCCTCGACAGTCCTACTAAAGATAAGTATGTCATCGAGGTACATGATGACAAACTTGTCCAAGTAGTCATGAAAGATCTGATTCATGGCGTGCTGGAAGGTGCCAGGAGCATTGCAAAGGCCGAAACGCATCACCACAAACTCGTACAGACCGTACCTGGTCTGAAAAACGGTTTTGTGTTGATCCTCGGGCCGTATTGCAATTTGATGGTACCCAGACTTCAGATGTATCTTACTGAAGTATCGGCACCCTTGCACTCGGTCCAACAAGTCACCGATGCGCAGTAGGGGCTCTGCGTTCTTCACAGTGATGCCATTGAGGCCCCTATAGTCAATGCACATCCTCAATGTTCCCCCCTTCTTCGGTACGAATAGGACAGGAGATCCGTAAGGGGAAACGCGAGGCCGAATCCAGCCCTTCTCTATGAGTTCCTTGAGTTGTCGACGAAGCTCATCAAGCTCAGCTGGAGACATCCGATAGATCCTACCCTTCGGAATACTAGACCCTGGGATAATCTCTATCGCGTGGACGACCTCCCTCTTAACAACCCCATTCAGCTCTTCAAATAGATCATGGTATTTATCGACTACTCCCTCTATTTTTGGCGGCACTTTTACCAGCTCGCCTGCTGCAGAGACATAAACTAAGCACATACCCTCCTCCAGATTTTGCTTATAATAATTGTAGAATGTGGCCGCACGCATGCATTCGTAGGACTCGATCAGACTACTAGCCTTAAACTTACGTAATTTGGCGGTCCCCCCCCCGGGCAAAGTGTGTTTGACCACTTTTCGGTCCCAGTCAAACCGAGGTTGTGCAACCGAAAGATAGTACATGCCCAACAGGATATTCATTGGGAGATCATCGCTGACTAGGAACGAGACTCGATGTCTCAGTTCCCCTCCCGCGTACGGAAAAAAACACTTAATGTCTTTAAGGTAGTCAGTGACTACCATGCGCTGCTTGTTGGCACAAGTCGACTCCACAGGTCGACTCAGACGCTGCACTTGCCCCTGTAAGCGCAGCCTCTCAACGTACACGGGACTAATGAAGTTCCGCATCGAGCAAGTGTCGTAATAGGCCCCGGCCTTACGACCGCCGATGACTACCTCGCCGACGAATAACTCATACTTGGAAGCTTTAGCCATTGCCATCCGAGAAGTTAGCGGGTCCGATCTAGACCACTCCTCCTCTAGCTCTTATAAGGACTCAAACACATTCATCAAACAGAGGATCGATGGGTCAGAATGTGTTTGCGGGACGACTACGAAATCAATAGCTTGGGTCATCTCTCGAGATGGTGAGGGTGTGTCCACCACCTCGACCCTAGCAGGAACACCTACTATTCCTATAGGCCCGACGTGTTTCCCGGAGCAGTGCCAGAACTACTAGCAACATTGCTACCAGTGGAAGTGGAGTATCCCTCCCATCGCTTGCCCCATTGTAGGTGGGATCTTCTCGGTCACCTTCTTGTTCCGACACTTGAACTGGTTATGGCCATATTGGCCACAACGGATACAAGCTTGCCGGGTGTACCGGTCTCTCCACACGTCCTCTGTGAGACCCGCTTTCTCCCATGGAGGAGTGTTAGGGTCAACTTGACTCCTTGACCGGCAGCCTCCGCGGCGTCTATCGGTGGCCTTACCTTTTGGGACTGAGGCAGCGATTGCTCCACCCCCTGAAGCCTCTACGCTGCCCGCCTCTGAACCTACTCCCTCCTGGTAGTCGTCGTCTAACTCAATGGTAGAACCATCGTTGTCAACGAACATGATACGGCCTTTCGCCTTTCAGTTTGGAGGCAGTGCCTTTTTCCTTCCATCCGTCGTGGGTTGATGTCCATGCCCTATCTTTGCTTCCTGGTCTAGGGCCTTCTTGCTAAACGAGGGAAAGTTGTGCACATTGATGTTCGCCTCACCTGCCAACTGATTCCTAAGTGGCATGGGAAGACACCTCATGTAAGTGGTCAGTAAGACTTAGGGGTCGTAACGCACACCAGGTACACAGATCAGACGCTCTACTGCATTTGTGGCATCCCTTTGACTTGAACGATTTAGAGCTCAAAGTCAGGATCGCATCAGTGGACTTTTGAGCCTCCTGAGGATCATGCCACCTTTCCTCCCCCAACTTAAGGAAGTCCTCCAGTTTCTGGTTAACTGCCCAAGCGCGGAAGTCATGACCGTATCCCAGTAGTTGCACTAACCCGCTTAACCATCTTGTTGCACTCCCCTCAACGTAGGAGGCAGCCACAAGCACTTCCTCGTGTGGCAAGGTCAACTTACACTTTACGTAGACCGGCGCTGACCTCAACCATGTGTCAAGGTCTTCGCCCCTCTTATCCCCTGAGAAGGGTTTGGGTGAGGCGATGGTCGTCTTCAGAACCCACTGGCCTTGTCCCGATACCTACACCACTCCAAGCTATGGACCCAAGGGCGCAGGTTGCTGCACTGGTTGTTGTTGGGGTTGTGTGCCCTGCGGTTGTACTGGCTGCGAGACAGCAGGCTGCCCAGTTACGGCAGTCTGCAACGGAGGTTGGGAATACACTGTCTGTACAGGAATCTGTACACTAGGACCTACTGAGAACCCGCCTGTCAAAGGCATACCTAAGGAAGCGGCATGCACCGATGTTGTGGGGACTACAAATGGGGATACCCCAGTCACCGGTGGGACAAAAGGAGGAGGTTGTACCACGGGCCAGGCATCGGGCCCTGATGGTGATGGTGCTACCTGAGCTCGCCCGACCAGCACGGCCAGGCTCCGCCGAATGTCCTATAAGAGAGTCGTCTGGTAGTCCTGCATTTCCACTACATCTAGCAGGATTGTCTGTAGGGTCCTCACATCCGCATCCATGTTTGTCAGGTCCATCCCCTCTAACTCACTAACGTCCGCTTGTCTTTGTTGCAACCTTCATCTTCTTTTGATCATCCTTTCTTTTTCTGCCTTTATCTCTCCTAACGCCTTTTGTAGGTATGCCTCCTGAGCAGCTGCCTGCTGTATGGCAACCTCCTCGGGAGTCAACACTGTTGGCTTGCCATGACATCAGCGGACTGACTTTGGGTCTGTGCGGTCGTCGCTCCTACAGTTCCTGAACTACTGACTTGGGAAATCTGCTGCGCAGCAGTTGCCATGGCTGCTGAAGTAGCGGTCTCGCTTGCGAATGCCCTGCTCGCTTCTGCGGCCCTAGCCCTCCGCTGCTGCTGCTGTCTCTCCCTAAGCTGGCGTAACAAGAGTCTGTCACCCTCGGGTCCTAATGCCACGTGGGCCAAAGGGCGCCTTGCTGATCGCAGGATCCTATCATCCTCGCTAGTGTTCTCCCCGTCACTCATAAGCTCAGAACTGTACACAATCTACACTAGGTCACACTCGATGCCTACCGCAGTGTAGTGCACAGACCGATTTAAAATAAATAAAATAATTAATCGGTGGCTATGTCAAAGTCTACACATTCGGGTCCAACAGATAAGTCCAGATTCCTACAAACGAAACTATTTTTACTTAATTAGTCCACGAACAGAAAGCAGATTTCTACCTAATGTTGTTTGTCAGATGTCAATGGTTGCCCATCTAACTAATCAAGAATAAAAATAGAATCGTCTGTGTGGATATTTGCAGAGTGGAATTAAACACGAACTTATCACATGAAACCTACCCCTCCGTCAGTTCTTCTTGATGGTCTCTTGACGTCAGCGTCCCTGCGCAATCCAGATAGCGTGCGTGTCTAAAGGTGTGCACACGACCCACCCCTGTGCCCCGAGTATATGCTGAGCTGGCCAGCCCTGCACAATATTTACCCTCGCGTGCAGTGAGACTTACACCGACCAATTGGCTGATCAAGAGGCGTTTAAGGACGGCCCCCGAAGTCCTCAGGAATTATTTTACGTCGCAGACAGGACGACGATCACAGACAATGGAAGGTAACCCCGCCGGTGCTTATTTCTAGAAGCCCGATACTCGTCTCCCCTGTAGGGCTGCCCTGCCCCTCATAACCCATCTAATAGGGCGACAGGCAGACAAAGGACAAAGAAGCAAAGCATGCGTGCTCTACTCCTGGTGGGTTGGCATGGTGACCGTGACCCAGTGCTTCATCCAGGGCCCTTCAGATAGCTCTGCCCTCTCCTTCCATATGCTCCACGTGAACAATGCCGACTCTCAAGGTTGAGCGCACTCGACTCCTCACATGAGAGGACTCTCAAGACAGAACACACATCCTCATGGTAAGCAGTGTCGAAGAGGGTAGATAAGGTTAAGAGCAACGTACCTCAAAATAGCTGCCCCCAACCACAAATATTCTCACCAGATGACCTGATGTCGATTGTGATGACCAATCGCTGCTTCGGCACAACCAGCATTACACCGTCGTTCCACCTCAGCGTCAATCGCACATCAGATAGTTCTCATCAAACTGCGAACACCCAATAATCACCACGTAGCCTTTCTGGCGATACCCCTATCCACCTGGGTCGCCTGCTTGCCTTCGCCCTCCTCACTACACACTCTCTACGGCAACTCACCCAGCATTCTGCATGCATGTACCGCATAGGCAGAAGACAAGCGCCAGATTAGTGCACCGTACCACAGCTCTGATACCAAATTGCAAGGAAAATGAGCAATAGCGAATTCCAGAAATCAAACAGCATCATACACATGAATCCAGATATTCGAGACCTCGAACCAAAAGCAGAATTGCATCACGAGCTCCATCAAAGAAGAGCACAACAAAAGCTCATAAGTGACAATGCTGGAATAGCCTCATCATCATCAACAAAGAACCAATGTCGATATCCTATCTGGCGCTCGGCGCCCAGACTACAAATGGCAGATCCTATCTAGCCTATCTACAATGCCCCTGGTGACGTCAACAGCTCCCCGAAGTACGAGCAGATCTCGGCCAATGCCGTTCGCCTCAAGCACCAGGTATGTCTCTCGCATCACTCACAACCTCGATCCCCCACTCACAGATGCCACATGCACCCAAGGACCACCATGCGCCTCATCCAGCATAGTGCAGCGCAGCCCGGCTATGTCTTCCTGCTCATCCAGCCCGCCCATGAGCGCGTGAGTTCTGGCCAGCGTATAGTGCAGCAGCGCTTGCGCAGCATGCAGCCAGTGCCGGAATGAGGAATGCGGGGGCAGGAACTTTCCTAAATTGAAGTGGCCTGCCTGCTGCGTCCGTCCTGGCTGCACCGGGCCCTGGCCCAGAAGCTTCCGGTAGGCCCCGGGAGGCTGAGCCCCAGTTCGAACGAATCAGGCCCAGGGCATGTGGCAGTTATCCGTGCCCAACTGCCCGCAGCCTGTGTTAAGTCCATGTTGTGTATCTCGCCCAGGGCCTGCCTCAGATGCATTTGATAAAAGCAGCCAGGGCCTGGGCGCTTTCAACCAACTGGCGCTGCGCAACTGCCTGAATTTCCCCAGTGGCGTGGTGACACCAAAATAGGCCTTGGTCGGGCCTGCCTTCACTTAGGGCGGCCGACTGTACTGAAAATGGGGCCCAGTAGGGCTTGTCGAGGCCTTAAGCCTCGCACAAGCTCGAAACGACGGAAAAAAAAAAAAAAAAAAAAAGCATCTGAGGCATAGTGCAGGGTGAATCAAGGGCATGTGCTTGCACCCAGCCCAATGTGACTGAGTGGTGCACACAGAGAGCTGTTAGAAAAGACATCCGGAGATCAAATCCTGAAAAAATCAGATGGAGAAGACACCGAAAAAAG